ACGGGTTTAAAAGCAGGTGGTTGGAATCCTGCCACCTTCCCTTCCTGTTGAGTTGTGACCTCAGCTGGGTCTCTTGGTCTCTCCGAGCCTCAGTTTGCTCATCTGTGAGATGGCGATGGCAGCGCAGCCTACCTCACAGGAGAGGGAAACAGGAGCATCCTCAGCGCGTGCTCAGTGTTGGATAACTGTCAGCCCCTCACCTCCATCCTCCCTTGATGTTTCTTCCTCTGAGAACGGGGGCAGTAATGTCTAGGTAAGTTCTAGAGTTCCTATTTGGATTAAAGCAGATAGGAGGTGCTGTGTGACATTTACCAGTGGGGTGGTCACTGCTAATGTGAGCTTTCAGGCTTAGTCTCAGCCATAATTTTTTGGGGGGAGAAGGGGGAGATTTGTTTACTTATTTATTTATTTATTAACGGAGATCCTGGGGATTGAACCCAGAGCCTCATGCATGCTCGGGCATGCGCTCTACCACTGAGCTATACCCTAACCCCCCTCAGTCATAATTCTAAGCAGTTAGCCAGAGACAGCAGCCTACTGTTGGCACAGGCTGGTAGTGAGGCGGGCTGGGGCAGAGAGAGGATCTCCAACTGGTTTTCTGCTGCCTGGGGCGCCCTTCCCCCGCTCCTGCCCTTCCCGTTCCTTCCACAGATGTCTGCTCTCTTCCCTGACTTGGTAACCTCAGGACTTTTGCACAGGGGAGTGTGGCCACAGGGGTGTGTGCGTATAGGTAGATGGGTGTCCTGTCCCCTCCAGGCCTCAGTCTCCCAGCTGGGAAATGGCTGGAACGGAAGAGAGATGGAAATGAGGAGGGGAGAAAATGCTTTCAGAAAGTGAGGTCTCCGGGCAAAGTCATGAGCCTTGGCCTTGGAGCCAGGATGTCTGGGTCCCAGTGCCTGCTCCGCCCTACCCTCTCTGGGCCGTGTCTCCCCAGCTGTAAACTGAGGGAAGGTTAACAATGAAAAGGCAGCTGCCATTTATTGAACACTTACGCTGCACCGAGCGCTGCCCGAAACTTGAATCATCAATTCAATCAAGTCTCTGCCGTTATCATTCAGTCCTCACAACAGCCCTTTGGTGCAGGAGCTACCATTTGATTTTTTAATTTAAAGCATGAATGTCCAACCAGTAATTATAAAGCAAATATGGGTTCACCACTCCCAGGTGGCAGTAATTATTTCCCCCATTTTACAGATGAGGAACTGAGGCCCAGAGAGAAGTGGTTTGCTCCAGGCTGCCCCACCAGAAAGTGGCAGGTGGAGAACAGAACATAGATTGGGTGATTTCTGAGGCTGCAGACTCCTCTCCGGGTGGGTCTCTGTGGCTCTGACTGTCCCCCAGGAGAGGGGCTGGGCTAGGCAGAAGGGGGTCCTAGGATTTGAGGCCTCCATCCTCCTGGTCTGGAGCTGGGGAGCATCACACTCTGACAAGGGCTGAGTCTGAGAGGGTGGGTTCCTAGGCTATGCTTTGCTGGGAGTGGGTGAGGCAAGGGACGAGGGAGCCGGAGCCTCCCGGGACAGGGACTTCATGTCCTTGAGCTCCTGCTGTGTGCCAGTCCCTGTGCTGGACCCTTTAGGTGCACGTCTAACCTGGCGATGTTCCCACGTTGCACCCAGGAAACTGAGGCTCAGGGTAGGGAAGTGGCTTGTTCAAGGTTCACCAATAATCTCAAGAGTTATTGAGATGTAATTCACATGCAACTCACCCTTTCAAAATGTACAATTCAGTGGTTTTGTAGAGTGTTCAGAGTTCTACAGACATCCCCACTGTCTAGTTCCAGTACATTTTTGTCACCCCAGGAATGAACCCGGACCCATTAGCAGTCACTGCCACCCCACCGCCCTCAGCCCCTGGCAACCACTAATCTGCTTTCTGTTTCTAAGGATGTGCCAATTCTGGATGTTTCCTGTAAATGGGATCCTATCGTAGGTGGCCTTTTGTGTTGTTGTTTAAGAGGTGCGTGCTCTTAAACCACTCAGCCACATAGCCTCCCCGTGGCTTCCACCTGGGGGCTGGGGACTCTCGGAAGCGATGGGTGCCCATGGAAGCTCAGAGGGCCGGAATCCCTCCAGCCAAGGACTTGAAGAATGACCGAGTGACTGCTGTCCGTGGTCACACTGGCCTTGCCCTCTAGGGGCCTGGTGAGTCACCCTCCGATCCTGCCCCGCCTGGGTGGTGTGAGCTTGAGGGGGGCCTCCTCCTGGGTGAGGGCACCCGACAGGACACTGGAGCTCTGTCAGCCCTGGACAGACAGCCACTGTGCAGCAAACAGGAAGCGGGCTGGGCCGAGACCTGCTAGGTAAACACAGGCTGGCTGGGGAAGGTGCCTGGCGTGGCGTGATGCCCCTGCTGCTGCCACCCACCGGAGCCTGGGGAGCTTCAGGCAGCCTGGCAGGCAGTGGGTTTTGCCTGGCCAAGGGCCTGAGCACTCAGCAGTGGCTGCTGTGGGGTGGCTGCCAGGGTCCCAGGCTCTGGGCCCAGCCACTCCGCCCTCCCTGGTGGTCATGCCTTCCTTGGTCCTCTGTCTGTCTGTTCATCCATCTTCTAATAATCATAACACAATACTGATAATGCTGACCCCAGCCATCCTTTACTGGGCATGTGCTGCCTGCCAGGCAGTGGACTCTGTTTTATACCCTCTCTCATTTAACCTTCACAGCAATCCCGAGGTAGGGGCTCAATCATCACCTATTTACAGGCACAGAGAGGCCAAGTGACTCACCCAAGGTCACACAGCTGGTGAGTGGGCAGTCGCCCTCCGGGCCCATGGTCTGCACTGCCCACCCTGAACCACTCTCCCTCCACCCCCATCTTTACCCTTTTCTTCTCGAGTCCCCTGGTCCTTGTAAAGTATCCATTGAAGGCATAGTTCCTGGGGCCTCATGGGCTCCTAGACCTGCTTCAGCCTCTCAGGAGCCGGGCAACCTTGTAAGAGTGACTCCACCTCTCTAAGCCTCAGTTTCCTCACTTGGAAAGTGGAGGGGTTGGGCGGAGCTGGTGTTTCCTCCCTCGACACCAGCAAACCTCGGGATCCCGTCCTCCTAGACGCCCCCACATCATCCCTCCAAGACTGATCTGGAATAGCAGATACTCACAGTCATGTCTATTCCAGGCTATGGCAAGAAGTGGGGGCCCCGAAGTTTGGACAAAGATCCCCAGGATGGAGGGAGGAGGAAGTACACTGAGTCGGTCTGGGAGCTCAGAACCTCCCCCTGGTCTACCTGTCTTCCCTGTACCTGTCTCCTTCCCACCTACCCATCCACCCGCCCGCTCACACATCTCTTCGTCCTTCCTGCCTTTCTTCTCCCGGTGCCTCCGGCCACACCGTTCCTTGAGGCTCCCTGCACTTCCCCAGCTCCGTGCTTTTGACCTTGCTGTCTCCTTTGCTTTTTTTATCCCATTCCACTTGTCAAGCCCCAGTTCAGCTACTCCTCCTCCTTGCAGCCTCTCCCTGTGCCCGGGAGGATGACTGCTGCTTCCTCCTGTGTGCACCCTTCCAGAACTTCAGAGCCTTACAGTTTAAGAAAGCAAATATTTACTGATGCCTCGGCACAGTGCTGAATGCTGGGGAGACAGTGGGCACAAAATAGTCCCTCCTTCATGGAACTAAAATGCCAGAGGAGAAGAGGGAAGATGGATAAAAAAATGATCTAAGTAAAGGTCAGAGTTTAACCGTGAAATGCTATTAAAGGAAGGCACAGTTTGCTCTAAGAGTGAACACAAGGGAGCTGGTTTAGACTAGGGGTGGGGGCCAGGGTGGCTGGTTAAGATGACCCCCCCAAAGAATGGGAGCCAGTGGAGGAAGAGCATCCCCAGTGGAGGGAACAGCCCAGGCAGAGGCCTGGCGTGGGGAAAGCCATCTGCCTTCCCTCCTGGACTGAGTTCCCTGAGCTTCCACTCTTCTATGCTTCTCCAGGCGCCCTGCAGACAGGTGGCACTCAGCAGACGCCTGTGGGAGTGCATCGATCCCAGGTCCCTGGAATTCTTCCCCCTGGGGTGGAGCAGCCCCTGCACGCCTGAACTTGCCCCCAGATTTAAGCAGCTTTCCTTGGTCACGTAATCAGGAGGATGGGATTTGCCAAGTACGTGGCAGGGTTTCCATGAGATCAGGCAAAGCCACGGGGGTGGGGTGGGTAACACAGTGAGGACGGCCCCGTCTTCCAGCCCTCTGCATGGGGATGGGGGGGTGGAGCAGGAGACCTCCACTCCACCCCACTCCTGTGGAATCTGGGATTCGCAGGGAGAAGGCATCTCCCATTCAAGTAATCTTGTGGTTTGCTGTTTATTGAATTATACTCAATTCATATAATCCTCACAATGACCCAGATAAGTTCCCCAAGGGCAGGCGAGGCTCAGAGAGGCTATGTAACTTGCTCAGGCTCACCCAGCTTATGAGCTGTGGGTCTGGGAGCCAACACCGCCCCCCCCCCGATCTGTCTGACGTCAGAATGCACGTTCTTTCCGTGTCCTGCTAGCTAGCTCCTACCAGGTGCCCCTCCCTGGGGGAGGGAGTGGGTTTGGCTGGCCTGACTGAGTCCCCAGGGGCCAGCCACATTTCTGGAGAGCCTGGAGTCTGACCCAGGTAGAGAGGAAGGCTTGGGGATCCTGGCTTAGCCCTGTAACTCCTTACCCTGGTCAGGACCCCTGCACCCCTTAACTCGGCCACTCCCAACCCTTCTTGTCAAACCAGCTCTTAATGCCACCAGACATGCTTCAGCTTATTGCTTTGTCTAGCTGTTTCCTCACCAGGTCCACCCCAGGAGGGCAGGAATTCTTTGTCTTGCTTACATCTGTGTCCCCAAGACCTGGTACACAGTAGGTGCTCAGTAAATATTTGTTGAATAAATAAATAGGTGAATGGTTTCTAATCTTGCTCTTTGGGCCCTAAGATTCAGATTCCTGCTCCGTTCATCCTGCCACAACTACCATCTGTGTGTGGACTGCCGTCAGGTGTGTGTGTGTGTGTGTGTGTGTGTATGTGTATTCTAAAAAAAGGGTTTGGATGCTTAATACCAAGATGTTTGGAATCCACTGCGTTAAATGGACACAGTGGTGACACAGTGTGTGGGATGTTCAACCTCATGTGTAAATGCACTTTGTTGAGCCCCGAGGGGTGCCTGGTGCCAGCTGGGTGCTGCCCACTGCAGAGGCATTCCCAGGAGCTCGCAGCGGGCCCACGCGCATGCGTGCACACGGGGAGAGACAGGAAGAAACGTACAGGACATTCACACGCAGAGGAGACACACGAGGACTCTGAGCCTCTCTCCCCGCCCCGCACCCCTCCTTCTCCCTAAGTCTGGCATGGATTTGGAATGTGTAATAACAGCCTACAGGGCAAATTAGAACAGGGAGTGAACTCTCCCCAGCCACAGAGAACAGGGTAGTGTTTGGGGAGGGGATTGCCACAGACTGGCTGTGTGCGTGTGTGTGTGTGTGTGTGTATACACACGTGTACATGCATGGGTGGGGTGGTGTGGAAGGAGTCCAGGGTTAGGAATCTAGAGGCCTTCTTCAAGGCCATTCACTCTCCATGTGGCCTCCCAGGGCATCAGTTTCCTCAGCTGTGAAATGGGACCAGTAGCCCAGTTCTACTCCCCAGACTCTGGGAGATGGGCTGGGGGAGAGGCTGAGAAGGCTTGGTGAATGTTGACATGGTCCGTGAATGCCAGGCTGCAGTGCTACATGTATGTTCCCCGGAGGTGGGAAGACAGTGAGGAGGACAGGTAAACTGGGACTGTATCCTGATGGCGATGATGATTAAAGCATTTATCAAATGTTTATTAGGTACCTGAGAGATAATCTGAGCTGCCTGTTACAGCAGCCTGTGGGATAAAAGCTGTGTTGAGACCTTCAACTTATAGGTAGGGAAACTGAGGTTCAGAGAGGTTAACATGGGCCGGTAGTAATAATCCTTACCTCCCGGGGCTGTTAAACAAGATACTGTAAGAGTTTGGGGTGGTGCCTGGCCTGCAGGCCACACTGTCAACTGAGGGGTTAGCGTAGCCCAGGCTCCACAGCCAACTGCCCGGATTTGAATCGTGATTCTGTCGCTAAGCTGCTGTGTGGCTTCAGGCAAGTCACTTACCCTCTCTGAGCCTCAGTTTCCATATCTGTTGAAAATGAGATTTATAGTAGTACCTACCCCTGGGGCAGGGTTTTTTAACTTCAGCGCTATTGACTGGGTTCGAGATGGATCATTCCTTGTGGTGGGGACTCTCTCATGCCATGCAGGGTGTTTGGTGGCTTCCCTGGCCTTGACTCACTGGATGCCAGTCGCCCTCTCTCCTCTGCACAGTGTGACACCAAACATATCTCCAGACATTGCCCAATGTCCCTGGGGAGCAGAATGGCCCTTGACTGAGAGCCACCAGTCTCGGGTTGCCATGAGGGTTGGATGAGAGTGCACGTGTGAAGCACTGGGGCTGGTCAGAGCAACACAGTCACAGTGATGATGGGGTTTCTGTCATTCTCACTTCGTCATAATTAAAATCCTAATTTTGATCAGCATGTGCCTTGTTCAAGGCTTTGCGCAGCGAATGGGCAGCTGAGGGGGGATTTCAACCTGGGGCTGGCTGACCCCAGACCCCCTGCTCTGGAGCCTCAGAAACCCTGAATGCCGTCATGGTTGAATTTCTTAGAGGAGGGGCTGCAGGCATGGTGGGGGGTTGGAGGGGCCTCCCCGCTGCCTCCTCCAGCCCCTGCAGGACCTCGGAAAGAGTTCAGTAATTAGGAGGGTGTTAACGGCCCAACTCCTCCCTCCTCTTCCCCTGACCTTGGGGTCCCCAATGAGGTGAACAGGACTGTGCCTGGGGAAGTCTAATCTTCGCCCTCAATGCCTGCAGCCCAGTAGACACCCCTCCTTGCCTCAACATACCCCCATTCCTGCAGAACAAAGCCCAGACTCACGCGGCAGCCGCTAGGGGTCTCCGTCTCCCACCTGGCAGGTGGATGGGAACTGATGTCTCCTGAGGTCCTACTAGGTGCCGGCACCCAGTGGGCGCTTCAAATTCCTCAGGTCACTGGCATCTCCCAAGAACTTTACCCATGGTTACCCTGGTTTTACAGGTGGGGGAACTGAGGCCCAGGTAGAGGAAATGATTTGCCCAAGATCACACAGATGATAATGAACCAGGGCCAAGATGGGGACCAGGTACATCTGACTTCAGCACCTGTGCTCCTAACCCGTCCTTCCTCCTTTGACTATAATCATTGACAGCCCCCAATTTAATCCTGGGATCAACACTGGACATGCTTGATCTCATCTAGTTCTTCCTGCAAATGTATGGAAAAGCTATGACAGTTGTACCCATTTTACAGATGAGCAAATGGAGGCTCAGGTAGCTAAAGTGACTTTCTCAAGGTCATGCTGCACATAAATAGCAGAGCTAGGGGTAGAACCCAGCCTGTCAGACTCGAAAGTCTGGGCTCTCCCTCCCCACGGACGCCCAGAGTGGGGCGCTCTGACCCTCGGTGTGCCCTGCTGCGCCTGCCAAGAGAGGCCCTCTTGTGGTGCCCGGCCTTCCCTCCTGGCAGCCACAAAACAAACAAGGTGGGAACCAATCTTTATTTGCTCTTCTGCTAACGCGCTAGGAGGGAGAAACAGAGAAAAGAGGGCTTTTCAGACGTTTCCCCGCAGCCCGGGTGGGATGGTAGGTGTTCCAGGAAACTCGCCCTTGGTGCCTAGCACTCCCAGCGGTGCGCTGCAGCGGGCAGGGGGCTGACAGCCAGCCAGTGGGGCCCTGTCCCTCCCTTGCTCCTGGCTAAAGGTTGGACCTGGGTTCAAGTCCAGCTCTTCTCCCTGCAAGCTATGTGATTGCCCCTCTTCCAGCTTCGTTTTCCTCACCTGAGAAGTGGGAACAGATAGCACCTTTGTCTTCAGGTCGTCTGTCTGAATGGCGCCCTTCTAGGTGCAGGGGATGCAGGAGTGAACAAGACAGAGGACATTCCTCCCTCCTGGTGATCACAGCCTGGGAGTTAACTAGCCCCACGAACAAGTGGTCAGGGAGGGCTTCCCAGACGAAGGAATGAGAGCTGGGAACACAGGTGGGCAGGAGTTAACCTGGCAGAGACGGGAGGGAAGGGGTCAGCGCTTGGTGCCATGGGGAGCAGAGTTTGTGCGCTGTGAGGAGTTAAGTCTTGGAAACTTGATTCCTGTCCTGTGAAATGGGGGTCAGAATGATGGTGCTGGGTGAGGAAATTGGGTGCTACTGGCTCCCACAGTGTGTTCATGTGTATTTTCTGAGCACCTACTATGTCTGAAGCGTGCTTTTAATGGTTGTGTTTTAGTAAGTGCTTACTATGTGTCACCTGACACACAGTAATGCGTGCTTTGTTTCAGAATCCCCATTTCACAGATGGGGAAACTGAGACTGAACCATCCACCTGCCCAACATCACACAGTTGCTAAATGCGGAGCTTGGATTTGAACCCTGCTCTGGGGGCTCTGAAGCCAGTTTGGCTGGCCAGGAGTAAGCCCTGGGCTCCAGGTTTGGGGTCCCAGCATGACTCTGAGGCCCTTCCTCCTCCAGCTAATGTCCAGGGTCTCTGGACCTGAGGCAGACTCGTGTTTCCAGGTCCCTGAAAGAGGCTCCTGTTGCAACTCCTGCCCGGGGGCTGGCGGCCAACCACATCTGGGAGTGGCCACCCTGCACCCCTGTCATTACAACGGTGGCTTTGAAGCAGCTGGCAGCAGTGCTGTTTGCCCATGTGGGAGGGGGCTTCCTGGAACTGGCCTGACTCCCCTCCCATTCATTCTCTTGCAGGCCGAGCAGGGCAGACTGGTCCCGGGGCAGCATGGCAGATCCCAGCGAAGGCCCCCGCACAGGGCCTGGGGAGGTGGCCGAGCCCCCCGGGGATGAGAGTGGCACCCCTGGTGGGGAGGCCTTCCCCCTCTCTTCGCTGGCCAACCTGTTTGAGGGGGAGGATGGCTCCCCCTCCCCCTCACCGGCTGATACTGCTCGCCCCGCCGGCCCAGGCGACGCACGACCCAACCTGCGCATGAAGTTCCAGGGCGCCTTCCGCAAGGGGGTGCCCAACCCCATCGACCTGCTGGAGTCCACCCTGTACGAGTCCTCGGTGGTGCCCGGGCCCAAGAAGGCGCCCATGGACTCGCTCTTTGACTACGGCACCTATCGCCACCACCCTAGTGACAACAAGCGGTGGAGGAGGAAGGTCATAGAGTGAGTACTGCTGGCTGCCCGGCCAATGGTCTCCTCCTCTGTGTTGAATCCACTCACCCACCCACCCACCCGTCCGTCCATCCATCCAGCCATCCATCCATCCATCCATCCATCCATCCATCCGTCCGTCCATCCATCCACCTACCTATTTGTCCATCTGTCCATATACTTGTTTGTCCATCCATCCATCCATCCATCTGTCCATCCATTTGTCCACCTATTCACTGAGCCACCCATCCATCCATTTATCTACCTATTCATTCATCTATCCAGCCACCTCTGTCCACCTTTCCATATGCTTGTCTATCCATTCATTCATCTGTCTACTCCTCTGTCCATCTATGTGTCCATCTATATATCCATCTGCCCATCCATTCATCCATCCATCTATCCATCGTCTACTCATCCAAACATCTATCCGTTCTCCCGTCTACCCACTGTTTGTATTCATCCAGCCAGTCAGCTGTCAAACTATTCATAATTCACTCATTTCATGTCCATGTCTTTCTTTCATCCTCTCTTTCTCTTTCCCTCTCTCTCTTTCTGTTCCGTTGCTCCCCGTCTTTCCATCTGTCCATCCTCTTGTCCAGTCCATCCGTCCATCATCACTCATGCAAATATTAATCAACCTATCTGTCCGTCTGCCATCTCTCAGTCCAGCCATCCATCATCTTCTCATTCAAATATTTATCTACCTGTCTGTCTGCCATCTCTCTGTCCAGCCATCCACCCATGGGCACCCCAAAGAGCCCGCCTCAGACCTCTGTGTGTGTCTGGAGGACAGTCCTAAAGTCTGGAGATGTCCTGTTGTTACTTGGTCCTCCTCTGTCCCCCTTGCTGATCACAGGCTCATTAATGCCCTTGGATGAAGCCCATTCACCTCCTCAGCCCTTGCTGGGTCAGGAGCTATCTCCTTTACTTATTCACTGAGTCACCAATTCATGCAGTGAATGTTTCTCGAGCACCCACCATGTGCCAGGTAGGGGGATAGGGCTCCAGGGGTGAGCCAGACCAGGTGCTACGACTTCTCAGTCTAGCCACTGAGTAGCCTTCACTGGCACCTTCAGTTTGGAGAGTGAGACAGGTAATAAGTAAGTGAATAGACAATTCACTTTGGGGGAGGTCCTGAGATGGGAGAGGGGAGCTGATACAGGAAAGGTAGTCCAGGAGGGCTTCCTGGAGGAGCTGACATTTAAGCCCAAAGCTAAAGAGTGAGAAGGTACAGCCACACAGGGGCAGGGGAGGATATTCCTGGTGGAGGGATGTGCATGTTCAGGGGCCTAAGGCTGGAGAGGCTTGAGGTATCCAAGGAACGGAGCCTCCCAGTCTGCACGCAGTGCTTAGATGAACTGCATAACCGCCACTCAAAGGTGGAAACAGACTCAGGCCAGCAACATGCCCTCCTTCAGGCCCTCATCCCCACCCCTACTCCAGACAGCCAGGCCAACGGCTTTAGAGAGGTTGAGAAGGAGCTGGGAGGTGGCTGAGCAGCTGAGGTCTTCTGAGACCCCGAAGGCTGCCCAGGGAGGTCTGGGGTGAGGTTGTTCTTTTCATCTTATTTTTTGGCTCACAGGTCACAGTTCAGGGGGGTGCACCAGCCTGTGTGCCCCCATCATCAGGAAGCATCTCTTCCCCCTTCCCTGGTACCCCATCACTGCAGGCCCTGCCCCCGGGGTGGAAAGTCTGGGGCCCGAGCGGAGGAAGGAGGGAGAGCGGCAGTCCACTGCCCCTGGCGAGCTGCTGGCTCTCTCTGCCCTGCCGCCTCCTCCTCAGTTTCCCCTTCCCCTCCAGCCCCGCCTCCTCTCTGTCCTGGGTCGCTCTCTGCTCCCCTCTTCTCTCCTCTTCTGTCCCCGAGTCTCTGCTGCTTCCTCCTGTCTGTCCTCTCCTTCATTTCACAGATTCTGACTGCGCCCCTGTGCGTGCCTGGCACAGGGCAGGTGAGGACGTGGCCCAGGATTCCTGCCCTCGTGGTACCCTGGGCTAGCGCTGCTCCCAGCTCTTTGCCTCTCCAAACCTAGCACACAGTAGGTGCCCAATGAATGTTTATTGAAGGACTGAATGAATGTGTTTTTCCCCCTTTGTCTCCATTCCTTTCCCTCCCCCAGCCCTCTCTGACTTGTTCTTTCTCCACCTGCCGCTGTAGCTCAGCGTTTCTCCCACACGTATACAGGCTGCAGACACACAGTAGGTGCTAAATAATAACAGGAATATTAGCTAACATTTATGGAGTGTTTACTGTGGTGGAGCCTTGAACTAAGCACCTATGTGCATGGCCTCATTTGTCTCAAATTTTTGTTGAATGAATAAATCAGTAAGTGAATGATTGAATAAATGATAGAGTTGCTTTATCTTTTAGTCTGATGTTCCTCCTTTGTGTTCTTACTATCTTTGTCTCTTCTAGTCTCTGGCTTTTTAAGTACTCAATAAATGACAAATGGAAGGATGGATGGGTGGGTGGGTGGATGGATGGATGGATGAATGGATGGATAGTTGGATGGGTGGGTGGGTGGATGGATGGATAGTTGGAAGGATGGATGGGTGGGTGGGTGGATGGATGGATGGATAGTTGGAAGGATGGATGGGTGGGTGGGTGGATGGATGGATGGATGGATGGATGGATGGGTGGGTGGATGGATAGATGGATGAATGGATGGATAGTTGGATGGATGGATGGGTAGGTGGGTGGACGGATGGATATGTGGTTGGCTGGCTGGCTGGCTTCCTGGGTAGAACGGAGGCTTGTGTGTTTCTTTTGTCTGTCTGTCTCCACCCAACACACAGTAGGTAGAATTTGTTGGGATAAAACATTCCTTTGTGTCTCCAGCTGTCCCTTCCCTCTCAGGCTGGTCCCTCGGGACCATCCACGATCCCTGGGCCCCTAAGGCTAGAGGTGGTGGTGGGCAGGGAATGAGCCCTCCTGTCACTTTGCCTCCTACCCGCTCCAGGAAGCAGCCACAGAGCCCCAAAGCTCCCGCGCCTCAGCCACCCCCAATCCTCAAAGTCTTCAACCGGCCTATCCTGTTTGACATCGTGTCCCGGGGCTCCACCACCGACCTGGATGGACTGCTCCCCTTCCTGCTGACTCACAAGAAACGCCTGACTGACGAGGAGTTCCGGGGTGAGACTCCCAGGCAGGAATAGTGGGTAGGCCAGCTGGGGGCTGGGGGAGACCTGGCATTGGGGGCCCCCTTTCCCCTCAGCATCTTCCCTTTGGTCAGTGTGCTGCGCCACCAAGAAGAGCACTGGACAGGGAGTCTGGTCCTGTGTGTCCTTTACCATATTACTTAACCTCTCTGGGCCTTTGTTGACTTTATTCATTCGTTCATTCATTCATTCATTCAGCCTTTATTTATGAAAAGGTTAGTGTCGTGGGTAAGCAGAGTCTGCCCACCTCCACCAATTATGGGATATGTAGCCTCTCTGAGCCTCAGTTTCCTCATCTGTACCCTGGGGAATAATATTAGCTTAGTCCTGGCCTTTGAGGAGAGAGACAATTCCACAGTATGAAGCCCAAGGCAGCTGGGAGGTCCCAGGAGCCCCTGCCCTTCTGAGCGGAGCTCTGGACAGGGGAGCAGGGCATTCCTGCTTCTGCTCCCGGGCTCTGCCCCACCCCTGCCCAGCTTTCAGGCTCCCCGCTGTAGGTTGAAACCCCAGTCACCACTGCCCCTGGACTTCTCTCTGCCCAGAGAGCTCACCCTCCAGCCTAGTCCCAGCTCAGAGCACCTACCTCTGGGCACTAGCTCCCTCCGCTGGCCCAGACCTTCCTTGCAAATCAGGGAAGTTGGCTTGTGACCAGATGAGCAGTAATTCACTGGCCAAGTGACCCCAGAATCAATATAAAATGTCAAGAATTGTGGCATCTGCTAGAAAGGGGGGCCTGTCTTGGGTGGGCTGGCCGTGGCCTACAGGTAAGGCTGATGAAGCTTCAGGGAGGTCAGGGGGCTACTTTTGGAGACTTTAGGGACTTTAAATAAATTAAGTACCAAAATAGGCTGACCAAATCTGCAGTATATTTTTCACATATACCCTTATCCACCAGTTTCTTTTTTTTAAATTTATTTTTATTGAAGTATAGTTGATCTACAATATTGTGTTAGTTTCAGGTGTACAGCAAAGTGATTCAGTTATACATACACACACACATATATATATATTCTTTTTCAGATTCTTTTCCATTATGGGTTATTGAATATTGGCTATGGTTCCCTGTGCTATACAGTAGATCCTTGTTTATCTGTTTTGTATATAGTAGTGTGGATCTGTTAATCCCAAACTCCTGATTTATCCCTCCCCCCTTTCCTCTTTGGTAACCATAGTTTGTTTTCTATGTCTATGAGTCTATTTCTAATTTGTAGGTGAGTTCTTTTGTATTTTTTTTTAGATTCCACATAAAAGTGGTACATGATATTTGTCTTTCTCTGTCTAACTTACTTCACTTAGTATGATCATCTCTAGTTCCATTCTTGTTGCCACAAATGCCATTATTTCATTCTTTTTAATGGCTGGGTAGTATCCCATTGTGTGTGTGTGTGTATATATATACACCATATCTTCTTTAACCAGTCATCTGTCAGTGGACACTTAGGTTGCTTCTAGGTCTTTATCAACCAGTGTCTTTGAACACCATAATGATAAAATACGGTATCACTGTGTCTAATCAGAAAGGAATTACCCAATTTATAAAAATATTCACTCATGGTGCCTCGCCAGATGGTGTGGCCTTGTTTGGGGCACAGGCTTAGGGTTGTGGGGAGATGGAGCCCCTCTCTGCCCTCAGAGGGTCTCCTTGACAGTGTGAATAATCTCATTTGGAGATAAGTCACATTTAAGCCCTGGCTAAATGGCCCAGCCTGGTCCCCTAAGTTCATCAGGCAGAAGTGGGGAGCCTTGGGGTGGAGTGAACCCCTGTGAAGTGGGGACCGTGGTGCCTGTGCCTTCTGTGGGCAGAGTAGCACCAGGCTGGGCTTGCCAAGGCTTCTGGCTTCTCCTGAGTTCAGGACTGAATTGGGGGTGCCTCTGAGCCTAGGCCAGGAGCCCCCAGGAGAGTGTGTCTGCATGAGCATAGGTGGGGGACTCTAAGATAATCTGGGGGGGATCCCTGAAATTGTACGGAATAATGCGTGTGTAGAGGATTTACAGTGAGACCCATTAATTAAGCTTCAGGGCCCCTTGCTTGCTCTGACCCCTTCTACGGCCCTCGACCTAATTTTGAATTCGTAATTGTATGTTTGTTTTCATAAATGGGATACCCAAATTGTATGTCTCAGGCCCCACAAAACCTGAATCTGCTCCTGTATGTTTTTCTAGCCAGAGACTCATGTGCTCATTGATTCTCAAGGGAGCCAGTAACACCCTCCCCCCAACCCCGCCCCCAAACTTTGACAAGCTCCAATTTGGCAATTAGGACCCCTGGCTCCAGCCTCCCCCGTGAGAGCCACTTTGCCACCTGGTGGTTGAATACTGTAACTGCAACCTCTTCCCCATTCTGTGTAGTTGCTGTTCTCGGAATCTTTTCCCAGGACCCAGGCTGGCAGCCCCCCTACCCTGCTACAGCCTGGGTCTGAGGGTGTGGAAGTTCAAATCCAGAGTCTAGTTCCACATCCCACACAAACCACTGGGTTCCTGTGGCTTGGAATTACCTGCAGTGCCCAGCACATCCCTTCATTGAATGTTTAACTCAGCAAGTGGTTATTGGGCACCTACCAAGCATCAGGCGTTGTGCTGGTATGGGGCAAAAATGGTGATCAAAGCAGACATGACCCTGCCCTCAAGTTGCTCACAGTCTCTGGGGTGAGACCAACATGGGTCAAGCAATCACAGAAATAAATGCACAGTTACAAACTGTAATGTATGTCTGCAAAGAGGCTGTATTGGAGGATTTGACCTAATTAGGGAAATCTAGGAGGACTTCCCAGAGGAAGTGACACCTGAGCTGAGTCTGAATGAATTGCTGTTAACCAGGTAAAAAGAGGAGGACGAGGGACTAGAGAGGAGAAGAAACTGCATGTGCAAAGGCCCTGTGGCTAACCACGATCAGAGTTGGACTCTGAGGTGACTACTCCAGTTCCTATGTGGAAAGTGGATTGAAGGAAATCCAGAGAGGCTGGTGGCAACCAGGCAGGTGTCCTGGGCACATGAGAGAGATGGTGGCTGGGCCAGGTTGGTGGCAGTGGAAAGTGGTGGAGGGGTTGGAGAAACTGGTAGGACTTGCTGGGGGCTGGGTGTGAGGGAGAAGGGAGGACAAAGACATGAGCGATTCAAAGGTTTTGGCTGGCTGGGGACACCATCCTCTGAGAAGGAGACATACACAGATCAGGAGGGCTTTGGGGAGGGAAAGAAGATGAGGTCAGCATGGAGAGTTGCTAGTTGCCTGATAACTAGAAAACGGACTGATCCACCTTGAGAGTCGGCTCAGCTGAGTGTGGGTGTGCCTGGACAGAATCCCCAGGGACCTAGGCCAGCATTTGGGATCCCCCTCCCCTTTATGCAGATGGGGAACTGGAGTCCCTTACTCAATACATGGTTACCTGGTGTCGACTCTAGTGGACGCCGGGGATATAGCAGGAAGTAGCCAGAATGAGGCTTGCCCAAGCAGCCTCTCTCCTAGGAGTGATGGGACTGGAATTCAGGTCTCCGCAAGCCTTCTGTGTTCTCCCCAGATTCCCAGCATCTAGGGAGGGGATCTAGAGCACCTCTTGTGGAGTAGTAACTGCAACGGTATTATTTATCGAGGGCTCCTATCTGCCTGGCGCTGGGCTCATCAACAAACATCTATTAGCTCATCGATTTCCCTTTGGAACCTCAGTTGAGCTGGACAGGAAATTGAAGCAGAGAAGGGGTTGCACAGAAGCCAGGAGCAAAGCCCGATTCGAACCCCAAGGGTCCTGGCTCCAGGGCGGGCATCTCAGCTCACACCTGCCTCTCCCATGTCCCATTCCTGCCTCAGGCCATTTAACCCTGTGCCTGATTCACTGGAGAGTTCTCTTTTCATTGACTTGCTCCATTTAAGATGTAGATCAATTCCTGTCACCATAAAAATTAATACAAGGGAAAGAAAATTGCAAAGGGACGTTAGCAGGCGTTAGTGGGCGGTGTTAAGGACCCATTAGTACCAAACAGAGACAGACTTCGCAGGAGAGACTTGACAAGGGGATGAAACCTTGCACACTTGGGCCTTCAGTGTTATTGTTACATCCGTGAAGTCCCCAAAGTCCTCTCCAGCTGCTCCTAAGGTAATCTGACGTCGTCCACTATGGCTCCAGCTGTTTGGGGTAAGCTGCACTCCCTCTGCTCCCCGCTAGGGGCACTAGTATGTAAACACTTCATGGAAAAAGGATTTATGTTCGAACAGGTGGGCAAAGGCTTCCTCCTGGATCTACTTTTAGAGGTTCACTGTTCTTATGAGCATGTGAAAGGCTCTGAGAAGTCCTGCAATGAGGAAATACAGTTGGCTCTGTTTACTCCAGCAGTCCCCCTTTTTATTTTTTATTTTATTTTATTTTTTTAAAGAACTTCTATGTCTCTGCGTTTATTTGACCTTCTTAGTTCCATGCAGGGCAGAAAGGGGACAGGCTCGGAGGAGAGGCATGACACGGCTGGACCTCTGGCTCCCTGCCCAGTGCCCTGTCCCCCTGCTGCCCAGCAGTTTGGGCTTCAGGCCGAGCACCCCTCCTCCTGTACGTTCCCCCCGCAGAGCCGTCCACCGGGAAGACCTGCCTGCCCAAGGCCCTGCTGAATCTGAGCAACGGCCACAACGACACGATCCCTATGCTCCTGGACATCGCGGAGCGCACGGGCAACATGCGGGAGTTCATCAACTCGCCCTTCCGGGACATCTACTACCGAGGTGAGGTGCCGGGCCGGGTGGGATCAGGGGCACCAAGGGCACCATCCTCACTTGTCCGACCCCGCACCCCCGCCTCCACCTCCAAGAGCTTCAGTCTGGGTGCCAAGCACCAGCAGGTCTCCAGGAATCCATTACTGAATGAATGAATGAATGAACAGACGAAGGGACGATAACGACCCCTTCCAGCTTTGATATTCTGAGTTTCAGAATCAAAGGTTCCAAGGTTTTTAGATGCAACGAGCCAAACGGGCTGTGAACCTCGAAGTCTGGACCTAAAATGCTCTGGTTCTGGATTCTCTGAGGCTCCATGATAATAGTTCTATGAGCCAAGAGCCCCCAGAGGCAAAAGTGTCACCCGTCCCAGCTCCCTGGGTCTGAATTCTGAGATCTATGAATCTGACTTGACCTTCCAGATTCAAAGGCTGTGAATTTTATATCCCGGGTCCCAAATTCTGTGAGATCATGATGCTCTTTCCTCTAAGACTGAGGCCTCCTTGTGAGTCTGAAAGTTCCCACTTTGGGGATCCTGCAAGTCCTTTGACCCTAAAATTCTGCTTGCACGATGCAGCAGATCTGGGACCTCAGGCATCAGAGAGTCCACAATGGGAATGTCTTAAGGTCCATCCGCTGCCCCTGGGTGGACTTCCATCTTCTGCACCCCTCCCACCAAGCCTGGTCAGGTCTCTGCCCCCCTAGTGACTGTCCCCCTCTCACTTCCCAGGTCAGACCGCCCTGCACATTGCCATCGAGCGCCGCTGCAAGCACTACGTTGAGCTCCTGGTGGCCCAAGGTGCTGACGTCCACGCGCAGGCTCGGGGGCGCTTTTTCCAGCCCAAGGATGAAGGAGGCTACTTCTATTTTGGTAAGGAGGGGCCTGGTGGGGCTGGGAATGCAGGGGAGAAGCTGGGGCCTGGCGGGGGGATACATGATGGTGGTGGCAGCCCTGACCTCTCCCCCAAACACCCAGAGCTGCTCTGGTCACAGCCCGGATGGTGCCCAGTTCCCAGGCTACCTGCGGGAACTTGGTCACTGAGGTCTTGTCTTTGAGGGGTAGAGCATCACCTCGCTTCTCTGAGCCTCCCCTTCCCCATTGGTACAGCAGGGATGGTGGTGGGATCCTAGGGTTGTACTGGGGTGTCCCTGTGCCTTATCACATGCATCCTTTAGTCCGATCTAAGCTGGGACCGATGATCAGATTGCAGGGCCGACTCCCTGTCGCTGCTACATCCCAGTTGGACCCATGAAAGGTTTTTAATTTCATCCCTGCTTAAAGGCACATATTATTTGGAGCTCAGGGACAAAGTCCCTCAAAGAGTCCCTCACAGCCTCCATGTCACATGGCCATCCCCCCAATAGCCACCCCTGTCT